GGTTGAAGGCACACAAGTTCCCCAACCGGGGAGCATAACCTCCAAAAAAAAACTTAGATATCGAGACTTCTTGTGAGAAGAATTACGAACTTTTATTTAATAGAAATTACAAGCTGTGAACAGTTTAACGCATGCAAGACAAAAGGTAGAAATTACTAGCAACATAATTAACAGAACAAAAGGAAATCGCTTTTAACTTTAGCGCCTTTAATTCCTTTGCTCTGACGCTCCATCTATATAAATAGACTCACTTGATTATATTACCAACATAACCTAAAGTGTCAATGCTGGAATTATATATATTATTATTACTGTCCACGTTGACATGAAAATTAAAGTTTACAGTTTTTTAATTTTCATAAATTATACGACTTTAAGAATTTTTTAAATCATTTTTTATCTGAGTATATTATTTAATATAATTGTTTTGTTATTGAATAACAGATTTAATTATTTAGGTCCACTAATTATGTTTTACATTTTTGTAATTTATTGTTTCTAATTTGTGTGCTGTTATTTTCCGACAGGTTTTCTGTGGATCCTGTTAGGAAGCAGCAATGGATAAAAATAATGAAACTTGAACATAAAAAGCTTTACAGAGGAAGTTATCTATGTTCTCTTCATTTTGAAAAAAAGTATTTAAACCATTTGACGATGAATGTCAGATTGAGAAAGGATGCTATTCCACATGTAAGTATCCCAATTTTTCTCTATTTGAACGTTTTAATACGTGTATTTTAAAAAATTTTAAGATATCGAGATGCTCAGATAAGAGTTGCATATATTTTTGGGCTAATATGCATGTGCTAAATTTATAGAAATAAAATGTAAAAAAAGGAAATAATAAAGTAATACTGAAATAAAATTGTTTATAAAGTGAGCATATAAAGTTCTAATAAATGAATAATTGCAGCTTTCAGATGAACAGCCTGATGACGTTGATGACAAAGATGAAATAGGTATGTAAAACAAGATTAAGAAAATAATATTAGTATTACATAGTAATAATATATTACAGCCTTGGTCATAAGGATAAAGTAATTTATTGCATTTTCTTGGTAAAGGCGATAATAAGAGCCAAAGAAAGCCTAACAAATTAAAATTGTTATAAAAATGAAAAAATGAATATTATTTTTTAATAAAACTGTTAAATTTATTGACAGATGTAGACAGATAGAAGAACGTTTACATCAATTTATGCTTTATACTTGTATAGGTTGTATAAATTGGGTCTAATTTTGTATAATTTTGTAGAATTTGGTATAATTTTCTATTATAATATTGTAATATTTAGAAATTTCTTTAATGGATCTTGTGTAATAAAATCAAATTTACTTTAGATTTGACATCTGTGGATACAAGTGATGATGATTTAAATACCAGGGACATGAAAATACTAAAAGATGATGATACTGAAGCCCTTCCTGCTGATACTTGTAAGCTTTGCAAATTGTATATTTAAATTTTTAGTGATTCCCTAAAGTACTTTTGCGAGGATAAATAGCAATTTATATTTGTAGATTTAATGTGTGATAAGGCAACAAACACACCACCCTTATTGTTGCAAGAAGCACGAGAAACGAGCAGAAAGCGATCAACGAATGAAAAAGGAACCAGCGTTTCGCCGGAAAGAATATGGAGTTGCTCGGCTGCACGGTCAATTCAAGAAGCAAATTTTGTAGCGGTTAAAAATTTGAAGAGGGAAATTAAACATCTAGAGCAATTGGTTAAAGTAAAAGAAAAGAAAATTTTAACTTTCAAAAGTATACTGGCCGAATTAAAGTATATCAGCAGTGACGAAGATTTAACGTGATAAATCGAAAATAGAAAATTAATTACCATCGAAAAAGAAACGAAGGAAAGAAGAACACAATTGAAACATGAGTGACGAGTAATTTATTGGTTACACGAGACATGAGTAACTTATTGATTTTGCTTTAATTAAGTGCGCAGCGAGCTTACAGATTTCTTTGTAGTATAGAAATCTGTGAGCGTCGTGTTTCTGTTTTCTCCTTTCTGATACTGCTCTCCCGCGTCTTGTAAAAATTTGTAAAAATGGATGAAAAATATTCTTCTGACGCACGCAGCCAGTAAAAGTTGCAAAAGGTATCGTAAATGACAATCAATTTATGCAGTTCATAAGCACTCTGAATTTATTTTATTTTCTTGGAAAAGGCAGTGATAAGAACCACAGTAAAACTAATGAAATATTAAATATTAAAATTGTTATTTAACAAGTATTTTTTTAAATTAAACTTTTAACTTTTCATTAAATATAGAACGTTTTCGTCGATTTGTGGGAGTGCTTTATACTTATGACCAAAGCTGTATTCCACACAGAATATTTTAGACACAGATATAATATGACATTATAACTTTTTTCGTCATTTATAAGTCACAAATAATGTAAGATTTTTCTTTATCATTATAACATCATTTGACTTTCAGTTCTATTTGTATATTGTATATACATAAAAAATGCATTATTATAATAAGAATGTATGTTTTGTAAAGATTGAGTGTTATTATTTTAAACAAATTATATTTATCCCATTAGAGTATTTATATCACAAATGACATGATAAAATTATTTTAACATCATTGGAATTTTAAAATTAATTCAAATAGCGTTACCATACGGAAATTTTTATAATATGGGTGCTCTTGTATTTTTCTAGTCGAAAGTTCTTCAGCCATTGGCATTAAAATAAAAAAATTAAAAACTAATTATTTTAGGTTAGGTATATTCGTAATTAATTTTAACTCAATTAAATCATACCAAATTTGATCGAGCGTGAATTTATTGAAATTATTGTTAATTATTATTTGATTTACATAATATGTAAAGGAAAAATACATACGAATACCTATGAAATGCAGATAATGTTTATAAATTGCGAAGATAGATGTATTGGAGATTTTCGAATTTCAATAAATTTTAAAATAATATGAAAATATTTGAAGCACTGAGAATGTCACGATAAAGATTTTGTCAATAATAATTAATTATTATGTACTACCGTTTCTTAACACAAAGTAGAACATATACAAAAGTCACTTTAACTATTTATCAAAAATCATTTTAATTATATCATTAATTAAAATACAATGTACGATATATTAAAAAAAAAGGAAGTAGAGCAAACTTTTAATAAACATATATAATTTATGACATTATTTGATCCAATATCGCAGAAAAGAGCGTCCCCGACCCTCCCCACATGAAGAAAGTAAAAATTCCTAGGCAAATCCTGCCATAGAGGATTCAAGTTCCCAAGGTTCACGTCAGTGCCCTATATAAAGCGGTCGTGGAGCATCGCTTCCTCCATTTTCTTCGTCAAGCAGCATCATGGTGAGTCGATCGCGCGACAGAGTTCGCGAATCCAACGAAATTTTACAATTTTCTTCGGCATCCGCGCCGTAAAGCCACGTAATCGTGCTCTTGAATATCCTCATCGAGATTCTAGACGAATATTACAGCGAATAACGACGATATCGTTTGCCTTTCGCGACGGCAACGGGGAGACGGTTTTGCAAGCACATGGTACCTCGTGCGCGACGATTTATCTCGTTAAGATGATGATTTACACTGCAAAGTTTATGGTTTTCGTCTGAATGACCCTGACGATAATACTCTAGGGCGGTCTGATTATCTCCTCGCGGAAAAATCCCGATCGCACGTTCGTTCCCACGTCGCTTACTCCATCTTTTTGTGTTGCAGTCGCACAGGAAGTTCAGCGCCCCTCGACACGGGTCGATGGGGTTCTACCCCAAGAAGAGATCCCAGAGGCATCGCGGAAAGGTAAAGGCCTTCCCGAAAGACGATCCCAGCAAGCCCGTTCACTTGACGGCTTTCATCGGCTACAAGGCCGGCATGACCCACGTCGTGAGGGAAGCTGATCGTCCCGGGTCGAGTGAGTAATTGTTACAAAAAAAAAGGAGACTTAATTAACGTTTTAAGTAAAAATATACACCCCACTTTTCGATTTATATCAATCTTTTCAAATATTTTTTATCAAATGTTACATGCGTTAAATATTATATTAAAAATGCGTGCGAATTTGTGTGCGACGTGTTAACTCGGGTGTCGATCGACGCAGAAATGCGTCGATCCATCCGAGTTGCAGTGCGAGAGCTGCCCTCGGTGCAGTACGTTCTCAATACTGCCACGTCGAAGAGCAAACCTGTGCGCTGCTCGCGCGGAATGCATAGGAGCAAGGTATATTCCATAAGCTCTTTGGAGTCCATTGGGCGGTAACCATTGAGACAAACCATACCTGGTACAGTTTCCTTCCAAAATAAGCAAGTTTCTTTTAAATAAAATTTAAATTAGAATAGAATATTTATTCACTTCAGCAATTTACAGCCAAAAAGGGGACTTGGTTTACAATAAATACCTTACCACACATTCATCCATACCTAACCTATCTCATTAAACTTATCCTATACGACTATGTAACTATCACAGACTTTTTCTTAAGATTACTGCTCGGCGCTTCGAGCTCACAGCCTTCTTTTCGTTACACTATTTCTATTTCATTCTCCTATTCTTTACCTCTATCTACCTATTCCTATTCTTCACTTACTCTTTTACTTTACACTCTCTTTCCTATTTCACTTTCCTCTCCTTCTTCCTTCCTATTCTTAACCTGTTTCCTCGCACACCTTTTCTTCATTTCTCTCTTTCTCTCTTACTCTTATCTGTTTCTCCCTTCCTTTCCATAATTTCTTTAATATCCTTCCTTTTGTCTCGTCCAGAATTTCCGATCTTATCCTATTTACTCTTTCCTTTTCATCTTTTCCCATCTCTACAAACCATTCTTTTGTTTCCTGACATTCCCTTACATAATGATCTATACTATCTTTACCTTGTAAAATTTAAATTATTAAAGTAACTTTTATGTATATTATTAATATTAACGGTTCCTTATAGAGGTTGACATTTCTCTTTTTTTTTTAATAAAATTTAATATTTTTTTGTAAAATTTAAATTATTAAAGTAACTTATGTATATTAATATTAACTGTTCTTTACAGAGGTAAATAAGAAGGAGATTGTGGAGGCCGTTACTATTCTTGAAACGCCGCCGATGATCGTTGTCGGTCTCGTTGGATACATCGAAACGCCGCATGGTCTTCGAGCGCTCGCCACTGTCTGGGCAGAACATTTGTCGGAGGATTGCCGCAGGCGTTTCTACAAGAACTGGTTAGTAACCAGCAGTGTCCATTGCATGTATTCACGATCGAGAATAAATTGTTACGCACGTTCATATTTTGGCTGTAAAAATTATACAACGTGTTGACTTGGGCGTTGATCAGCATGGAAACGCGTTGATCCGTTCGGGTTGCAGTGCGAGAGCTGCTCTCGATGCAGTAAGTTCTCAAAACTGCCACGTCGAAGAGAAACACTGTGCTCTGCCTTGCGCAGAATGCATGGAAGCAAGGTATATTCCATAGACTTTTTGGAGCCCGTTGGGCGGTGACCATTGAGACAAACCATGCCTGGTACAGTTCTTCTCTTCAAAAAATAAAAAAAAACGACTATTATTACTTTATTATACACAGTACTAAAATTATCGCATCAGCTCTCCGCTCGCACGATGAGAGTTATCATTTGGATATGGCCGTTAAAGCTTATCTTTTAACATGGCTGGTCCAAGATGTGTGCCCCAGTCTCCGCTCGTTACGATGAGACTGGCACGTTACAGAGTGTACCCCAGGTGGCGTACGCAAGATAGACGGGCATTGCATTGATTTTCTGGCAGGTACAAGAGCAAAAAGAAGGCTTTCACAAAGGCGTCGAAGAAATGGCAGGACGATCTTGGCCGCAAGTCCATCGAGGCGGACCTGAAGAAGATCAAGAAGTACTGCAGCGTCGTTCGCATTATCGCTCATACTCAGGTAATTGAACGATATGCGGCGATATTAAAGTACAGGCCATAAGTATAAAGCATCCTCCAACTTATTACATTCCAATTTATTGCATTTTTTGCAAAAGACAGTAATAAAAGCTAAGAAAAAAATATTAAAATTATGAATTTTAAAATTATAGAAATAAACTTTTTAATATTAAAATTATAAAAATAAATAGTGAAACTTAAATTTTTTTATTTTTTTTTTTACATATAAAACGTTTGCATAAATTTGTCGGGATGCTATTATACTTTCGATCGAGGCTGTGTTAGATATGGTGATAATATAGAGGTAACTTAATCTTCTCGTTGTTCCTTAGATGAAACTGCTGAGGCAGCGCCAGAAGAAGGCCCACATCATGGAGATCCAGTTGAACGGCGGCACCATTGAAGACAAGGTGCAGTGGGCGCGCGAACATTTGGAAAAACCCGTGCCCATTAGTACCGTATTCGCCGCCGACGAGATGATCGACGTGATCGGAGTTACCAAAGGAAAGGGCTACAAAGGTACGTTCCTATATACTTATATCGGTGTTTGTGTGTGTGTGCTGTTTGCCCTCGAAAGGCCGGCCCTTTGGCATGCCTTCCCCCCCACCCCTGCCTTGGCCCCAACAAGCATACACATATACCCCCCCCCCCCTTGAAAAGCATGCTTTTAAGAAAGTATTTAGGACTATGATGAAAGAAGCATGACGTGCATTTATCTGAATATCTTGAGGATAATACCATGCTGCCTTCCTACTGAAAGTCCTTTACCAAAAAAAGTTGAAACTAACTGCGAATCTCGAGTCGGTCACCCTTTTCCGAGTATGGATTATTTATTAAAAAAAAAACTGACATTTTTTCCCCCCTCCTTGCAGGTGTCACGTCCAGGTGGCACACGAAGAAATTGCCGCGCAAGACTCACAAGGGTCTCAGGAAGGTCGCCTGTATCGGCGCGTGGCATCCCAGCCGCGTGTCCTTCACGGTCGCGCGCGCCGGTCAGAAAGGCTACCACCATCGTACCGAGATGAACAAGAAGATCTACAGGATCGGACAGGGCATCCATACCAAGGACGGAAAGGTAATTGTCGCATTTAAGTCCGTGAATTATTCTAGCGCCTCTTCCCTATGTCGATCTTTGCAGTATACAAGAAGATTGATTCTAAACTTTCAAAGAGGCGAGATAAACGTTACTTGCTGTCATAGTACCTAATGCATAACTCCATCAAGTGCTTTAGGCCTCCAAAACAAGTTACAAAGTTATAATTTTTAATGGACGTTTCTTCTATCGTCTAAAATTATTAGATTATTAAAATTATCAGGATTGATGTTTATTGTAATTTTTTTTTGGTTGCATTTTACAGATCGTGAAGAACAACGCTTCGACGGAGTACGATCTTACCGACAAGAGCATCACGCCGATGGGTGGCTTCCCGCATTACGGCGAGGTCAACAACGACTTCATCATGATCAAGGGATGCTGCATAGGTCCGAAGAAGCGCGTGATCACGCTCAGGAAGGTAAGAGACATTACCAAAGTTGTTATACATATAAAATAACATTGTTTCGGCATTTCTATGATGGACCCTCAAAGAGCCAATTTTATACTTCTCTGATCACGATGATAATTACTTATGATAGGACTGAGATTTTAAATATTTGATATTTTACATTAATCGATATTTACAAGCGCGAAGTTAAGTAACGTGAAAAAACGTATGTCTTGCAGTCCCTGCTGGTGCACACCAAGAGATCGGCGTTGGAGAAGATCAACCTCAAGTTCATCGATACCAGCTCCAAATTCGGACACGGTCGCTTCCAGACCGCCGTGGACAAGGCCTCCTTCATGGGACAGCTCAAGAAGGACCGTCTGCGCGAGGAGGAGGCGCGCACCGTCGGTGTATCGACCGCCCCGCCGGCGCAGTAAAAAGCTATTTTCTACCGTGTACGGTTTACAAGAGATATATAAAATAGATTTTGAAAAATCTTATACGAGTGGTCTTGTTCATTCTCGCACATTTTTCCTGTACATACATTTTTTTTCTATCCTTCGAAGAGACATCCGAAGCACTAAATAAATCGATCTTCTCTGGTTTTGTTACAGTTTGCTGTTTTTAAATTCTTGTTGCGAGGATATAGCTTTCAGTTTTGAAAGAAAAGGGAATAATGTGTATTCTCAAATTTTATACTTGTATAAACATTTATATGTATTAAATTTTTTTTGTAATTTAATTTTAAGTATTTATGTATTAAATATTAAGTTAATTTGATTGTATTCCGAGGGGAATCAATAAATTTATTACTACTATTAATTTTTCTTTTTCTCTCATTTCTTTCGAATTGAAAAATTTGTATTACTTTTTCTGTTATCAGTTCAGATTTCCCGACTCGGTTGCGACAAAATGGCATGGCCAATCGGTTGCCTATCCCCCTTCCCTACTTGGATCCCCTTTCACCCCCGCGGGCGCGGCTACTCCGTAACGTCAGTAACGTGCATCGCGGAGCAACGTGTTTTGCACCGAGTGGTACATAAAAATAACTTCACGAGAAAGATATTAATTGTTGTTGATTTTTCTTCTATTCGCCTCAATTTAAAACGATGGCGGAAAACGAAAACCTTCTATACAGATTCATGAACTCCTTATTCTACGTGCTGGACGCGCCGGTCACCTACGTTCGAGGTATTATCTAATCGTTTTTGGTTATGTTGTCTCCCTTCGTTCCAGGCCTCGTCCTGAACGACCGCCTTTTTCCGTTGCAGAGAAATTCGTGGTGCCGAATCAGAAGAAATATCCGTGGTACCATCAGCACTATCGTCGCGTGCCGACGGTCGACGAGTGTTACACGGACGACGTGGTCTGTTACACCGAGGCAAATTTGCAATTCTTACGCGACAAGTAAATCACAAGTTTTATGAAATATTAGAAAGCGAACGGGGTAACATTCCCCCCTGGCGATGTTCACGGAATAATCGTGTCACTACGTCCGACTCTCCTTTTAACGTTTTTCCCCGCTTCTTTTTTCAGATCAGTGGAAGACGAAATTTTGATGATTCTGAGAAGTCGATTCGAACACTGCGCCTTCTATCACGGCGAGGATGATGCACACTTATGTGACCCTTTGAAACAAGCTTACGACGACGCGGCTGTCAATTGGTTCATAAAATGTGAGCACGCGTCCGTGACGAGAAAGTGTGATTTGGAAATTGCAGAAAAACGCAGCCTTATGGCCAAGATTAGAATTCTGCAGAGGGATTGGAAGTTCTGATCACGGTGGAATTAGTAATTAATAATTACTAATTCCATCATGGTTTGGAAATTCCAGAAAAACGCAGCCTTAGCTATAAATATATAAAGCACCTCCACAGATTGGCGTAAACGTTCCATATCTCTTCAATGAAAAGTAAATTTTTTTTTTTACCGAAACACAATTTTTATAACGATTTAATATTTTATTGGTTCTTCTTTGGCTTCTATTAGCGTCTTTTCTAAGAAAATAAATTGAGAGTGCTTTATACCTTATGGCCAAGACTGTAGAATTCTGCAGAGGGATTGGAAGTTCTGATCACGGTGGAATTAGTAACTAATAATTACTAATTCCACCATGATTCTGATATCAACTTATTTTCTCAAATGTGCAGACGGTGAGATGGGAGTGGGTTTGAACGCGAAACGCGCATACATGAAGCAGAAGCACCGCATGATCTGGGAGCGTCGTCACGGGGAGGTCGGCACCGGCATGAAGCCACAAGCGACCAAGGCGGCGGCGTCGTAGCGGACACGCGCCGGCATCGTAGACGACAATTTTAATGGCAAACGCATTCGCATTATCACGGGTCTGAATCGTAGGTTTGCTGCTTAACTGTGTACAGAATATGTTGTGATTTAAAGACGGCGGGATATGTAATAAAAAGTAATTTATCAGAATTTTAATCTCATTTTCGCAATCTCTCTCTCCCTGTAACAATCCTCTATTTATATCTTAACAACGATTATAAAACCGCATGAGCGTGTGCGCGCATCGACAGCAAATCTCCCTCCGAATATTGCATGAATCAATCGGTGTTTTTTTCCATTTATTCCTCTCATTGTACAATATATAAAAAAGATTATACCTATTGTACATGTATATCAAATTAATTTATGAAATATTCATTTAGACACGATTCCATCGATGATTTATACATTACACACAATTTCTCTCGTTTTGTTATTACGATAAAATCATCTCATGTAATTATGTATGAATTTACAGATTTTTTTCTCCTCTCCGTTTCGACATTGCGCTTCCAGATTTACTCATACATCATTTAGAATTGCCAAAGCAAAGTACGCATAAAACTTATATTTTAGGCATTCCCCGATTTTGGAACATAAGACAACCTCTCGCACGGCGTATCTTACACGGTGGCACGTATTACACGAACGTAAAAATATCCGACTGAGCGAATTAAAAGTCCCGTCTCTCATGAGAGGACGCATACGCATTACGGAAATTGCTTTTTTTTTCACGCGAAAGTATAAAATACAATAGAATTCATTATGCATAAATATACAAACACGTAACGAAACTGTTTCTTTTAATAGGAATAAATTAACAAAATATTAAAAAAAAAGTCACGAATACTACACGATCCTAATTAATCTAATACCCGACTGTCACACTTAAACGTAAACTCGCAAATTTTTCATCGATCCAACGGAGATAGAGCGTGAACATTACGTACATGTATATATATATATCTCTCTCTCTTTCAAATCTTTCAGTTTTTTAAAAAAATAACGCATTACGATAAATTGGCAAACTAGTATCGCATAAAACTTGGAATCCATCGATGATTTATCCATTGTAGCTACAATCTTATAGTACAATCTAATCGATCTCTCTCTCTCTTTCCCTCTCGCTCTTTCTCTGCTGTAAATTATTACACATCCATGTCACAGTTACAATGAGCATGAAGTATACAAGATTAAAAGTGAGATCATCACACATTCATTCCCTTCTGTACAATTCAAAAAAGTTTTACATTCTCATTATACATCTTATATTACGCACTTAATATACACACATACCAGCAGAACATTATAAAAAAAAAAACAAGAGTTCCATATCAGGCAGAATCACACAGTGAGTGCATTCCCATCATCGCTTCTCAAACGAAAGGAAGAAAAAAATAAAGGGAAGACGGGACCCGCGCAATGGCCGCTGCGACGGGGAGATGTTCGGTGCAAACTCTTTTGTCCTCTCGTCTCCTTTTGAATAAAAAAAAATTACACGATACTTATCGCCATTTTAATATATTACCGGACGCGCGCGAATCTCGTCTCGATGAACCCTCCCGTTAAAATTCTCCACCTCCCTCGTCGCGGCCATTGCACGTCGTTATCCTTCCCCCGATTCTGCCCGCACGACAAGCACTAATCTCATAAGAAAAAAAAACATCGATCGAACATTTTTTTCATCGATAAAATTATCCTCTCTTTTCTTTACGTATATATTTCGTGAGAGTCGCGCGACTCAACACGACTTGGTAACAGTGTTATCCATTACTCCAATCCCTTTTTTTTTTTTACACACATCTGTCATCGCGCCGTGTATTCACACCGTGTATCCGCACTCATTCACATGACACACACTCGTAAAAATTATACATTGAGCAGTAAAAAGAAAAAAAATAATGTATCGACGGTGAATGGAGAGAAATTCGTAGGACGATTGAACAAGATGAACGACTGAAGGTGCGCATGATAAGACAGGAGAATTTTCGCTTATCGCTTGTAAAGTGGCAACAATTATACGTAAACCTCGTTTCTTCGGACATATAGTATTGTTATATGAATGTGCAACTCACATTGTCCCTGTGCAATGTGAACGCAAGGCAAATCGAAAGAAGCGTTTCAACAATAATTTATTTACAAAAAAAAAAAGGAATAGTTAAATGTAAATATATACTTGATGACTACGGAATCTAGTCTGATCGTTCCTCCCGATTTCGTTTAACGAGTATAAAATAATAGGAAAAAAAAAGGAACGGGTATAAAAAATCATTATTTCTCCATGATATGTATCGTTAAGCTTAAGTCGAAACAATCAAGTAAAAATTGATTGTAAATTCGATACAAACATGAATAAAGATTAAAATATCAAATAATATCAAAATGCGATTTGTTAATAAAAGGAAATATTAGATGCGATGTAAAAAGGTATAAGTTGTAGTTCACGTAATTCACAAATGTGCACGCTTCTTGTGTGTGATGATTTGACCGAAAGATTTAATTATTGCCATCCCAAGCTCCCTTCTTGGTGTAGTTATTCACTATCATCTCGCTTCTTTGTTTTTTTTTTTTAATACCCTATATCACAGTACGAAAAAATGCTACATGTTTCTTAGCCATCAGCACATGTCACTTCGGTATAAAGCGTCGCTCACGCATTTCGTTTATTACGATCCCGACCAATCATATATTATATATATATCTACTCTCGATGTATATTTTCATACTCTTTGAAAATAATTCGTGCTATAATCGCTTCTCCGTCCGGTTTGCATATACATTTAATCTATACACAGATCTGCGTTGTAAATGTTTCTCGAGTATAAATTAACCTATGGGTACCTACCATCCATGGAACAGAGTATAGGTAATTCAATCCATTTTAGATGGCGATCTACTGAAGTCCGTTGAAGAGTCCGTAAGTTTTCCTTTGTTTTCATCTCCGTGAAGAAATTAATTTAACACAATCTGGTCTTTTTTTTTATCTTGAGCTTATTTATCACTTGTTTTAACGTCTCTCTTTCTTCGCGTAGGCGTCTCCGCTTATGGCTCGATCGGCTGATTGAATTGGGCCGCCAGACGTCTCTTGCCTTTAACTAGCAAGATAAACATAGTTTCCTGATACTTTAAAGCGAATGAGAATACACATAAATGATTATTTTTATAAAAAATTCGTTGACACAGAAGAGGATTTTTTTTTTAAATTAAATAATGTAGCGATCACTCACAGAGTTTACTGGAAGTGCTATGGCTGTCGCTGCTCTCATCGTCGTCGATAATATTGTCCTCGCTTTCGGAACTTGCGAGGTTGCGTTGCGTCCTCACGGCAGTCTTCTTTTGATTATCCGCCGTCTTCTTCTTGGGTGTCAACGACAGAGAGGGTAGCGGCAATTCCGACGGGTGTGGCGCAACGACAGGCTTATGGTAGTAAGGAGAGGTAGGCGGGTACAAGGGATTGGCAGCGGCGGGCAATAGATTTTTCGTCGGCGACAGCAAGTTCGATATACCGTCGCTGGACAGAATCTGATTCCAGCTCGGTAAGGTCAACGGGGGAACCTGAAAAGGCACGACGGATTAACGAATCATGTAGAAGTGGGGATAAACAATTTTTTTTTTCATAACACGTAAACACATCCGATGGAAAGGGAGCTGTACCTGCACGTTTGTGGAATGTTCGTCTTGAGAATAAGTAAATTTTGTTGGGGACCACAGCGATGATTTCCAGTGTTCCTCCTTGCACGCGATATCCTGTAAGCAAATTACAGCAATTTCAATCAAATTAAGTATCGAGATAAAAATTAGAATCATCAATTGCGTCACTTCGACTACGCTAATTATTTTAATTTTTTTTCTTTTTTGTGTTATACAGTATAGAATATTGAAAACATATGAATGTCATATCTACAAATAATTTTGATGATATAAATAATATCAATATAAAGAATCAAAATAAATTACTCTTCACTAATCGAAAACAAAAATAGGACCAATAAGTCCTTTATATGCAAAATAGAACAAGTATCAAATTAGCACCTTCGGCAGTTCTAATAAAATATCGTAAAATACATCGTTTTAGCGTTAATATTAATTAAATACCTCGGGCGGGGAGTCGGGCTTGGGCGGCGGCGGTGGGAATTTACGTTGTATCGGTGTGCGTATCAAGCTGTTCAGGAAGCTCTCGCCGCCGCTCTCCGAGACCGCCCAGTTAATCGAATGTTCCTCCGAATTCGGCAGGTTCTTCCAATGCTTGTCACGAGTCTCCGGCCACAGACCTTTATCGTTCTTGGCTTTCCAAGAACTCATGTTCGTCAACTGATCAATCCAATTCTCGTCCACTACGCCCAGAGCACTACCGGCATTCGCGCGACACGAAGAATCACTTTCAAAAGAATCGTTGCTGGAATCCGTATCGTGATAAGATGACATCGGCTTGTACGGCAAGAATATCCCGACGGAAGCTTGAAGGAAAAATTTAAATTAGCAAGATACCGACGAACGCATAAAAGAAGTTACAACCTTAGCCATGGGTATAAAATACTCTCATAAATTGACGTAAAACGTTCTATATCTATCTTTATCTAACAAAAAATAAAGTTTTATTAAATAATATTTATTTCTATAACAATTTTAAGTTTCCTTTGGCTTTCGTTATCTTTTAAAAAAAAAAACATTAAATTCAGGATGCTTTATATTCTTAAGCCCGGCCTACAATTGTGCAAGTATAATAAGTGATTGTAATTGTAAAAACTGATTAATTACAGTCGAATATTTTCCTCATATTCGATTGTTCAATTCTTACAACCATTTACAACTGTACTTATGCAATTGCAGATCAGGCTTCGATTATTCACTTACCGGCCAACTTTTTATTCAGATAGATAATCGCTTCTTTCTTCCGTGTTTCCTTTATCATTACAGTACAGGGCAAGGCTTGTAAAAGTGCAGTTATTGTCGGAAAACCATACTGTGCAGGTTTACAAGTTGTGCCTGTGACATTTAAGTATGACACATCGAACTGCGATAAGCTTAATGTGCCACCGTAATTCAACATTACGCGATAAAGCTCGCAGGCGAAACGATGCAGTGGCGTCAGCTCGATGAATTGCTCGCCATTTATCACTGTGAACTGTATAGAAATATTTGTAAAGGTAACGATAAAACACGCGCAAAAATGAATAATAATTCATGTAAATGCTCTAAACACAGGAGCGTGATTTTAATAAGCCAGAGTTTTAATCGGCAACCCGAACAACAATCCGGGTCGCGCATCTTGCATTAAATTCATACATACCCGAACAACATTCGACAGATCTCTCTTAAACTCGTCCAGATCACATTGCTTCATATAATACTGAGAGTATTGCTGTACGAATTCTTTGAAGGGCATTCTATGTTGGGGTTGCTCCATCAGCACACGCCGGCACTGGAGGGTTCTCTGCTGCAGATGCGACTTGTCCACTGTGATGATAGCCGGTCCTGTAGCCAAGTGTATGATCTGCAACAGAGGGGAGTCCGAACAGTCGATGTATTTATAGTCGCTGTAGACCGACGACTGTACGTAGCAGCTTGGCGTTATACCTGAATGGTGTCTTCAAGCTTCTGCATGAGCTCCAACATCGAAACGCAGCCGTACAACTCGGGACGTAGCGCGTAGCCAAACAGACGTAGGAACCTCTGCCCGATGCTCGAGACACTCAGGCCGCCTCTGGTGCGCATCACCAACTTCGATATCTGCTCGGAGAGGACCTTCAGACCCTCCTTCTCGGTCAGGGATATCTGCCTCTCGCCACCGTTCACCTCCTCGATCTTGACCACGTCCGGGATCGCCTCGAACAACTCGATCAGCTTGGTGAACCCGTAATCCGACACGCGGCACTGATGGCCGAAGTGGTGATGATAGGAAGGTACGAACTTGTTGAACAGCATCCTGCACTGCGGCGCGTGCTGCAGTAACTCGACCACCTGTTGAATTCACAGGGATTTCATTTCAAAATAAAATATTTCCATTATAAATTTCTCAGGCCTCTTCGATAACCGCGAGGCAACTCGCGAATTGCGCACCTCCTTGGCAAACAATTTCGTTCGTCCGACCTCCTCGACAGTCTGTTCGCGTTTGGGGATGGCTATCATCTTGTCGCCGCCATCCATAGGAGTTACGACGACCGTGTTCTCGGACACTTCGCTAAGAATATCCTCGATGTCGCACACACCGTAATCCACGATGTCCCATGGTTTTGCTGGAAAAAAAAGGAATTTATGTGTTACTGATTACCTATCTTTAATATTAAAACCGATGATATCCCACGAGAACTGCTAAAGATGCCAGTTTGGTAATTTCCTCGTTTTTGATTAATGAGAAGTTATTTGGATATTATTTGCATCGTATATTCATCAAAATTATTTATAATCACTACATATTTTCAATATTCTGTAAATATTGTAAAATATATAAAAAAAAAAAAAGAAAAAAAGTTGAAATGATTAGCGGAGTTAAGATGGCACCGTTGATTCTAATGTAAAAAAAAATAAATGCGAATAGATGGATATTACAAAGTTGTTACCTATCACTCGATGATAAACGCTTGGAAATTCCGAAAGTGCCACCTGCTTGCTCGCTTTCGACTTCAGTACTCGCAGCAAATCCGAGGTGAATCTGCGCACTTGGGCACGATGCGACAGCGTAACCACGCGCTTGTTGCCCTCTCCCATTACCTGCGGAAAGAATGGTGTAGCGACGATTCGCATATCATTCTTGATTTAATCGTCGATTTTCGCGGGCGCCGCTTAATTTACGTACTTGGACAGTGTGTGTAAGCGCCTCCAGCAGATCTATCAGCTTAGTGAACCCGTAATCGGCGACTCTGCACTGTCGTCCGAAGTGATGGTGATACGCTGGTATAAATCGATTAAAAGATAACTGGCAGTGCGTAGCGGTTTTCAGAAGATCGACCAGTTCGCGGCTGAAAAGGGCTAGCTGATTCGCGAGCGGTGGACTCACGCACTTAGTTTCTGAAAGGAGCGACACTCTTGTAATAAAAAATCAACGCACACTTTGCACTCTCAATTGATTCTTACAAAATAATTACCGTCATTATTTTCATTTTCTTTCTTCCCCACCCACACGATGTACTTCACGCTGCCGATATCTTGTCTTAGCTCGAAACATGTCAAGCACGACACCAAATGCTCCAAGGGTACACCCTCCTCTATGATTTCTAACGGTTCCTTGAATTCAGCCTCGTAACAAGTTGGTAGACTGAAATTATTCAACAGATTGCAAAAATGCGTATCTTAAGTTAATACCGTATATAATTCTTTTTAAATTCTATATAAAGTTTAATATAAATAATAAAAAAAAAATACCTTGGCAAAGGTAGAATGCCGTTGTGCGACGTTAGTAATTGTTGCAGGCGAGTCTCGAGAAGCTTCAAAGAGATCTTCACGTTGGGTAAGGATGCCATTTCTTGTTCCGCCCAGCCTTTGTTTTCCGACAACGGTTTTGTCATGTGCATTGTGCAATACGGCAGCTTGACTTGCCCATCCTGCGAAACATTATTCAACGTCTTTTGTATCGATAAAACACGTGATCTTCTATCCACGAAAGAGAGCGGTGTATCAATTCAGGATGTATCGCTTTATACAGTATGATCAGAGCTTCTCGACGGTAATGGGAACTATGGTGTAGTTCTACCGTCACCGGAAAAGCTCAGACTCGGCTTCTTGTTCATCATTTCGTAAATTCTACAGACAGTACACATGTAACACGGAGTACACTGTTGCTCAAAAATATTCGCCCATCCTGGTTTTTGTATGTATTTTTTTAATACATCTAAATTTTTTAATTCTACCATATTTTCTTTACATATTATATAGAAAATTTTGAGAGCCATCAAACATTACTATTATTATTATTATTATCAAGTTTAATATCTTGGGTTTCTTAATTAAATAAAATGAATTTCAATCTTGTTCGTTAATTTTCTAGAATCAGGAAACATCTAGAAGATTAGGGAACACGATTGAATTTCACTTCATTTAATTTCGGAACAAAAGGTAGGCAAATACTTTTGAGCGGAGGTGTATATCGCGCACCTGTGTCGTATTACTAAAGCACGGCGACGGTGTGTTTCTATGATCCGGACTGAGCGAGACCATTCTACCGCTCGGATCCTCGGTGATTATGCACACGTCTCTCATCTTGTAAAGTTCCGACACGCTTATTGAGATCATAAATCGGCTCTCGTACATCTCGCGGAATTTGAATAGCGGCAGTTTGTGTCCCGGGACCTCTTGCAAGAGCAACACGATTTGCGCTCGGATAAGCTGCAGATTTGGTCCGCCGATATGCGCGTAAGATATCAAAATGCGCTTGTAGCCTATTTTACGGCGGTGCAACTGCGAGATCGCATACTGCGCGTCCGATAACGAGGGCACTTTGACGCTAGCGGCGTAATTGCCGTCCGATTGCATAAATACGGAAATATGACAGTTCTAGAATAGAAAAGAAATGTATCTCCACAATAGATTTTACATCAATTTGTATAAAGGATTGACAAGAGATTTATAAGAGTGCAACGTAATTTGTGTACAGAAATTAAAATTTTCAATAAATAAAATGTACCACGTACCGAGACGTGCTCCAAGAACACAGACGAAAGAATTCGCTTCATGTCTTTCATATCGATGTTTTGATCTAAATTTGTTACTTGCAATTCGATGGGTATATTAGTGCCATTATTGGTGCTATGTCCGACGCGATTATTTATAGGATTAAAAAATTTCTAGAGAAAAAGAAATTAAGAGACAATAAATTGAGCGGAAAGAGTAGAAATTAATACCTATAAAAAAAAATATATATATATATAAAGATACCTCTACTTCTTCATTTTCTGCATCGCTCAGATGCGACCGTGATGTTTGATTGTGTTGTCCTGTCCCTTGTAACATATTATTTTCGTAAGGTGATGGCGTTTTATTGTTTCGTGTAGGAATCTGCTGTTGATTCTAAAAACAAGAAAAACAATTATCTTTTCGTTCCTCAAAATGTAATGTTAGATAAACAATAATACAATTGTTTTTGTACCATACCTGACCGTGCCATGAGCTCTTCTCTCTAGTCGGCGCATCGTACAGCGGGGATGGGCTACGTCGTTTGTAAGAATTGGATTGCACTGTTTCAACAATATACAATATTAATCGTCATGCACGCGATGCACAATCGGCGTACTCTTACAGAAATCCAATTTAATATTAAAATTATATATCTTGACTGTTAAAAGCACCGTTGTTTTTAATACTCAAACTAAGCAATAAATCACTATCTTTCTTAAATTTCTGTAAGGATAATATAAAATTGTTTAAATTTAAATTGTTACCATTATAAACAGGAGGAACAGCTAATGAATTGTATGGCTGTCTTGCATGATGTGCGCCAAGCCATTCGGAAACATGAAGAAATGCGCCATGTGTACCTCTGATGCGTCTGAGACCTTCAGGAGTACGAGAAGCTGCTGCGTTAAGAGCAATATTATTGTCCCGAACCTGCGGAACGTGAACCCGCTTATTTAATATCTTCGATTTCTCCGCCTAAAATACAATAAAATAATCGTTTCAGTACAAGTTTATACAAATAAATAATACTTTAATCATACAGCTTTGGCCATAAATATAAAACACCCCCACAGATTGACGTAAACGTTCTATGTCTAATAAAATTAATAAATTAAAAGTTTTATTAAAAAATATTTTTATTAGTCCTCTTTTGGCTTTTATTATCGCCTTTTCGCTAAGAAAATGCAATAAATTAAAAGTGCTTTATAATTATGGCCAAAATTGTAATAGATTACGAACAAGGATCTATTTTCTTTTCAACAGTAAAGAAAACAGATCGTAAAATTAATAATATCTAGATAGATTTTAAATATTCTTCCAAACAAAACTGACTTTGTATTGTGCTTCCCATATATGACTGTATTGAGGTCCCGCCATTGGCCATATGATATTTGGTGACTGCACCCTGGTAAGGTCATTGTATGCCCTATTAAAAGGTACATCGCCGCTATTCAGATACGATCTCTCGAAAAATATTGGAGGTTGTATCATCCTGCGAAACGTAAAACAAAAAGATATTAAAATTAAATTTCCATTACAATTTTGCGACAAATAAAAAAATTTTTGGTACTTTATATCAGATAAGATCAAAACAGTTTCACGGCCCGAATCAAGCAAGGATAAAAATCTACTCGCGACTCTAAGGCTCTTTCTCGGATTATCCATCATTTGAAACAAGAGATATCGTGTTAATACACCGAAATAACAGGTCTAAAACAAATTTCACAAGACTGACCCCGGTGATGGGCCATTGATGGGCGCGCAATGGGGAGTGAAGGCAGGATAGGCGCCCACTACAGACGACGAGGATTGAAAATGCGGGAATTGGAGGGTCCTCGTCCCTAATACGGAGGCACTCGCAGCATACATTTGCTTGGAGTTTCTTTGCTTGGAGTCGGTAACAATTTCCGATTCGCTGACTGCCCTGCTTCGTGTTATGATACTTCCTGAAAGAGTGTTATATTAATTAACAATGAGACAGCTCGATAATCGAAGTCTCGCGCGTCACATTTTGCCAGAATCTCGCCAAACGACAGACTTACCTAGATTTTTAACGATTAAATTTCCTTTCTCCTTTCCGAGATATCTTACTGATATTTTCGATCCAAAAACAAATTCCCCTTCCATACGCTTCTGAGCCCTATCAAAAGTAAAAAAGGGGAAAAAAATATAATCATATTGTTATTGTACAGCACGCTGACAAGTAATTTCGCTAAATGACCTTCTTTATCATGAGAATGTACAAGCGCCTATAGGCACACAGGTCGAGGTACTTTGGTAATTGATATTAATATTAATAATGTAACTAATATTCAGTAATTATTAGTCAAAATTTTGTTCTAAATGCACGTATAAAATAAACTGTACCGCGCATAAAATAACTGTATCTCTCTATATCGATATTAAACGGCACAAACTTTCTTGACACAATGGCGATAGATATTGCAACAGGCATTACGACTTACCACAAACAGAGGTAAAACCATCACTCAACATTGTAATAATGAATATTTAAATAAAAGAAAACAATAAATACGAAATAAGATATATTAGTCTGTATAAAAATAATTTCACTATAAGAAATCTTATGATGTATAACAGTAAGTGAACTTATACGACGTGTTCTTTTGATACCACTATGCTCGTTATATTGCTGTCTGTTATTTCGAATCTTCCCTATTTGTGTTTTCATCCCTGCTACCACCGTAAGTAATAAAGGAGGCTGACTAGATTGTTTCCCCCTCCCCACCCCCCCCTTTTTCATATACATGTACACACATACCGGTCCAATGGTGGAACAGAGAAATGTGAAATGCTGTGATTTGCACGACGTATAGGCGGGTTATTTAAATAACAGTTAATACACGGAAAGGCTAAAACCGGCTTAAAAAAAACGAACAAGGAAAATAAATTTCTATTAAATTAACATTAACTCCCTGTTTACTGTCTAAAGTTCTTTTTGGGAAGCTCTAATTCAATCCGAGATATCTACTTAATATCCTTCTAATTTATCAAATTCAATGTTTAGTTCAACTCGAATATTTTTTTAAATATATAAAATATGAATATAAAAGATATGTATTTTCATAAAATTAACTTAAGAAGGGAAAGCCTAATTGTTCCGTATATTCAACGCAACCTTCATTTCAATATATCTGTGGTAATCAGAATTAATGAAATATATACCTGTCTGCAGAACTGTGCGACGTAAAGCGTACAATGGCAGTATTTGACTGGACATCTACCACGCGACCGCCGCAATTTTCAGATAATTGCTTAAGGCGGCGCTTAATGACATTAACATCCGTATCATTGGGAAGGTTACTAATTAGAAGGTCATAGGATTCATTACCCTGAAAGTGTTAAAATATATTCGTAGACAAATTGGGAATATATGTATAACATGCAGAGGATAGAACATATATGTGCCCGTAAATTCTAATATTATACAGTCTCGGCCATAAGCACCTTCGCAAATTAACGTAAAGTTCTATAGCTAACGAAAAATAAATTTGAATACAGTTTTATTGAAAAATGTTTAATTTTAACAATTTAAAAATGTTAGAATTTTAACAATTTTAATATTTTATTAGTTTTCCTTTATCACTGCCATTTCCAAGAAAATGCAACAAATTGAATTGTAACAATTGTGCTTCATACTTATGGCAAAGGCAGTACATGTACCCTGAAAGTGGCTAATTTATGTTCTGAAAAAAATCACTGGTAATTCCACTAAAATTACTACATACATTGGTAAAGGTAGCAAAAATTTTAAACTTAAATGCATGCTTCATAAAACTGAATGTCTTCGTAAAATTGAAGACTTAATATGTGTCTCTACAATCGCCAAATGGATCATTAAAGTCTTGATTGTACATATTATTGGAAATGAGTCATTACTGGAATTATATTCGAGAAAACAAGCTGACGTTATTTGTCGTCGTTTTATGTTTCCTGGGACGTGCACTGAGCGTACAAAGTATGCTACATACAGATACACAAGACAAAGTATATTCAGAAATGAAGAAAAAGTATACTCTAAATATTGTTGTTTATTAAATAAATACATGTGAGAAAAAGAATGGCATAATTGATTAACGGCTTCCCTTTGTCAATATTATAGTCGGTCACATACCAGTCTTCATACCTTTGGTGGAGGTCTGGACGGCAGTGGCTCCGTGAGCTCCATAAAGTCGTAATGCTCATTGGCGCACAATATCAACGCCTCCGAGGTATTCTTCTTATGTAGCAGTATCACATGAATCTTCTTCCTATGACGTAGATCACTGAGATCAGCGGCGAAGTTAATGTCGCCGGATATTAGGATTATGGCCGCCGGGCTGCCGTGAATGTCGGCGAACCTCCGTATGGTCTGCTTAAGCTTCTCGTCCGCGGCGTTCTTACATGTAGCAGCTACGTGTATTAAATTAACCTTAAAAGATGTAGAATAAGTGATTCGCTGTTAGTCAGGGAGTCAGCAGCGAGTCGTCGTGCCGAAGGGAGAATCTGCCTTACCTGAGCGTCATTCAGTTCCTGTATGATTTGACTGTTCTCCTTCTGAACATCGCAAACCACGATAAATTCCGCCTCCCTATAACCGTTAAAAAATTTGTCCCTAATCAATTGCGTGACCGCTATGGCGGATCTACCTTTAGGAACCTGTAATACAGTAGTTGCACAATTGAAATACTGTTTTAGCAAGAACAAGAGAATCTTTTAAAATCAGAGAATTCCTTCTCTAAAGTAGGAGATGAGAAAAAAAGATAAGGAAATAATCGAGCCAACCTGACAATTCTCAATGTCCCAAAATACGCCAATGGGTGGAAGATGATTCGATGCGCCCGGCATCTTAGCTGGGCTATCATGACACAGAAGAGAGCAGTCATGTCTGCAATGGCCAAACAACAGAGGGCTGGAGTCTACCTTAGAGCCGCTATTGTTTTCTGGCTTAACGTCGCACAGCGAGGTATTAGGCTCCAAGGAGAAGAATCTTTGCGTGGACAACAGAAGTTGCTGTATCAGCTTCTCATTGAGGCCCTCGATCTCGTCGTTATCGTTATCTTCCGCACTGGACGCACGGTAATCGGGAGATCTCTCGCCAGCCATGTGTTTCACAAGTTATCTGGTAGGATTCCAATGTATGGGCTAAAATTAAATGAAAAGTCAAAATTAATTGAACAAAATATAGACGGCAAAAATTGATAAAATTACATATAACGTTATATATACTAATGTGCATTATTTTTATGTTTAATGTGCATTATTTTACATATCGTAAGACCGCATAAATAAACCATATACAAACCATGTATGAATCATATATGGACTACCAATTTTAACAAAGAATTTATAAAGATTAGATTAGATAATCGTAAAAGAACACGCAGGGAGGAAAAGGAATGCATCGTGTATGTCCTTCTGACAACGGACTCGCGTCCTCGGCGAGTTTCCCTCCGCATTTAAAGCACCACGTGCGTACGCGTGACGCTGAGTTTAATTTAGAAAAATGTGCAGCACGCACACGGGACATTTGGCGCGTTACCTGAGAAATTCAGCCATCGTTCCACCATCGCTTCCTGTGCAGCATCGGGCAAAAACGCGGCAACCGGCACGACAGGATGCCGAACGGATGAAACATTACGGAAGGAAAGTCATAGGCGAGCGCATAGTTCCGAGAATTCCATGTCCGGACCCGTCCGTCGAAAAATCAAGCTTGAATCTGCAAAACGTGCGTTTCCCCGTATGATTTTGCTTCTGTTTTATCTTCTTTCAATCCTCCTTCTCTCTCTCTCTTTCTCAATCTATCTCTCTCCCTTGCTTTATCCGTCTTCCTACGCAATGCAAAAACACGCTTAAAGTCACGTTCATATCGCGCGACGTAAGATTTACTATTATTGCAGCCATTGGTCGAGAGGGGATGGTGGCCATCTTTAGGGCCTATCCGAACAAACTTGCATAATCGTTCCTAATTATTTGAAATCCCTAAAAATTTGATCTGCATTTAAATTTTGCGTAACAGAAAACGCGTAAAGCTTCCGATTGGTTACGCGCGTTACATGAAAAATCTCTTCCATGGGACAGCACCCTAAGTGAGGTTCGAATCTTCGCTAAGTGGGGTTTGAGTCTCCGCTAAGTAAAGTTCAAGTGAGTTTGCACGGAATTTGACTACAATTTATAGCAAATTCTTGGCGTAAAATTTGCTCGGAATTTACGACAATTCGAAAGGTGATTGTTTAAATAGTCGCGAGATATTTAACAATTTTATGATTAATTAATTACAACGTTTGCGATATCCGGAAAGTGGTCGTTTAAGAGGATGCTAAAGCCGTCTGTTTTATCGACAAAAATACCATTTTTGTTGGATACAAAACACTTCGTATTAATCGCATAGAATAAAATTTCCTTTTTCACGATTAAAACACACATGCTAATGCATCTGGCTCTGGTGTATTTTGTACCAAAAGCAGGAAAAAATTAAGAAATTACAGATTTCGTTATCCATTTTAACCTCAACA